CACGCACATGGGTGCACATTTCTACAAATGCACTGAGCTCCACTGATTCTTCGCATTCACTTTAACAAGTGGCGCAATTTGCATTTATGTAAATATTTTTACGCTTACAAAACTTCGCACTTATTTGGATGATTTGCAAGAAATTACGAGCGGAATTTACACACAAAAACACATTGTGCAAATAAATTTGCATACACATGCAAAGTGACAAACGAATGAAAACAATTTTCAGTTTATTAATTAATTTGTTGATGCAACAATTTTCACGCGCGTAAATTTTCCACACGCACACGCACATACTGCACATACAGATGCACATACATATTTAGGTACACACACGAGCGCATAAAAATGCGGTTGATGGGCGCAAATAGATTTTCAGCTTATTATCACATGCCCAACGGTCGGTCCGTCCGCCGTCCGACGACCCATAGAGCCTTTGCTTGCTTTGACCGACGGTGTACGGAGCGGCGCTGAGCGCAGCGGTTGGACGCTCGTACGGGTAGATGGGGTATGGCGTTGTCGCGCGACCGCGACCGCGACTTCCGGTAGCGCTGTGATCGCGGTACGTGTAATTGTCGATTTTTTGTGCGAGTTTTGTGCTTGCGGTACACCGAGCGCGCGATGGTTAGGACTAACAAATTGAATTAGATAATCTATTCGAACACTGGTTTCTTATACAAGACCACGCGCTGGCTTGCAAACTTTTCAAAAGTCGCTCAGAATAAACTTTATGTCGCATCTGTTGATATGATATACATATGTATGTATGTACATAGTTGCTGGCGCAGCGGTTGCTTCATTCGTGTTTTTGTTTGTTTGTTTGTTTGTTGTTGTTGTTTATTTACCACGTCAAATTGTTTGTTGTGGCTTGTTTGTTTTCATCTATATTTGTTCCCTTATTCACTTTGTCCACTGTAGTTTTCTTGTTTTTTTTTTTTAGTTGATTTCCGCCGATCCACAAGCAAATACGAGTGGCACCGAACGCGCGCTATCGACTACGGCAGCAAGAAGCGCGCATGTGAACGCATTAGCTGATCGCCGCACTTTGATTTGCGTTGTGCGCAGAATTTTTCGAATGAATCGTAAAAAATGTGCAGGTTGTCTTCGGTAACAAATAAAGCGTTCACGAATAATACAAATAGCATGCGGTAGCGCGGCACGGAAAAAGCGCACTGAACTACGAAGGCATTTACGAAAAGCAAATAAACCAGCGAGGTGGTACCAGTGTGGTCCCATAAACAAATGAGCGACTTAACAACCACCGATCGCGTGCACCGATCAACGACTGAACGAATGAAGTGGCGATTGCCGTATCGTACTACCGTACCAGCGTGTAAGCGTACAAGCGCTCTATCAGCGAGCGCCTGATCAGCGCGGGTATGAGTACGTACGTATGTAATACATACAGAGAAGAACAAAATCAACTGCGAAGTCACTCACAGGCAGACAGATGGAGGCGCAGCGGCGCGCGCACGCAACCGCCGAATAGGTATATCATGGGAAGCCACCAACTCACCGTTGCCGCCGGTACTGCCAACGTCATTGTCGTCTCTGTGTTATTCATACATATGCATGTATTTACCTACATACTATATATGTATATCCATGTCTGTTCATATTTATGCTACACAAGAGGTGAGCGCGTGAGTTGGAGAGTAAGCGCGTCAATGAGCGATCTGTGTATCTAGGGAGCGTGAGCGCGCACCGCTATGAGTGTTTGAATAAATTGTCTGGCAGGCGGACTGACTGATCAGGCGCGCGATTATGAACGCCGCGTTCAACGGCTGATGACGCTTACGTCCACGACGCGTTCGAATGCGCACGCGATAATGCGCCTCGCGGCATCGTTGTGCGTTTGGACAAATCATGAATGAAAAACACTTCAAGTAATCACGCAGCTACGAGAATCTACTACACCGAAATGCAGGGGAAAAAACTAACAAAAAATAAAAACATAAAGTGAGCGCGTGCACACATACTCTAGCAATTTCCCGCAGGCATATGTATGTATGCAGGCAAGTATATATACCCTCTGCGGAAAATCTCTAGTTCTGAACTGGTGCGCTTCTGGTACAATTAGACCCAGTACTCGTTCGCGATAAATTTCTTTTGCATGCAAACAACAGGCGAATTTAACATGGCGATGTCATAGGAAGTGTCAATTGCCCCCGCTGCATCCCTTTTTCGATAGTTTCGAACTAGTTCTAAATTATATAGTTTCGAAACAGTTCCAAAATAGACAGACGGAAGAAAAAAGGATCATGATTTTTAAATTTTTCGGTTCTTCCGCGTGTGCGATTTTAAATTATTTTCAAAGAAATGTTTTTTTTTTCAATTGTATTACCAAACTATGAAAAACCATCTGCGAAGTGCAGAATGACGGTGCATTTGAACGAAAAAGCTGTCAAACACATATCTATGTAAAGTAAACGAGCCCCCGCTGCATCCCTTTTTCTATAATTCCGAACCAGTTCTAAATTTATCACCTTAGATATTGATTTCTAATGGAAAAAGTGAAATAAAATAGTTTTTAATAGTACCACATTTCGCTCAACTTGGACTGGTGGGGATCTTGTTGCTATCGGCCTGGTTCGTTTTTGGCGATAAAGACCTACGGAACTAGAAATTTTATTCACTAGTCCGCGGTTTCCCTGCAGGGTACGTATGTATGTATGCATACATACTAAGAGCTGAAATGATAGCGGTGGCAGCGACGTTGATGCTCTGCTATGCGTAGCTACATATATAGGTATATAGATACATATATATATATATATATATACGAGTACATATATACATGAGGATCAGCATAGCAGAAAAGAACGCAAATGTATCGAAGAGAGCATTCCCGCTGATCATACATATTTATTTATATACATACATATGTGCATAGCTACAAAAGTAAGAGAGTGTCGCAATTGGAGAGATCGCTGTCATAAATTCTAAAATCACTACCCTCTGAGCCTACGTTTGAGCCCAGGATTGCTCTTAAAATTCCTTTTCTCTTCTGCTATTTTATTCGCCCTGAATTTTTAAATTTCCTTAGGGCCAAATTCACAGTGCGTAGTTGACCACTGATAAGAGTTTAACTATTGATTTTCATATTCACAACGCTCGGTTAACAAGAGTTTAAACCAGGATGCGCTTATAGTTAAACTCTTGTGAAATTGAATTTTTTTTTGTGGAACGAATTTCAAATTTGAATAGAAAAGTATTGATATTTAGAATTTGTATATTTTCAGACGATATGAATTTCCATAGTTAACTCTGTAACTCTGAATATAAATTCATAGTTAAACTCGTGTTGGTGGTTAAGTTAACAAACGTTTAACAAAGCACTGTGAATCCGGCCCTTAATGTTGTATTTACACACCATCTGTCACCCGGCAAATTGTTTTCTTGGAAAAATAATTCACTGTTTCTCTGTGTTCCATTTTTTTCCTGAGATTGCATTTGTTGATACGTTCTTGATTCACGGCTCTATCAGTGACAAATTCTTGTCTCTGTATTTTCAACGGAAAAATATATGAAAAAGGGAAAACAAAATTTTTAGTAAAAAGAGTTTTGTCACCGACACAGAAATAAATCGAAATTTTTCGATCGGAAGACTTTGTGTTCTACAGGAAATTTGCAATAATAATACCCGAGAGTCTATTTACCCATTTTTTAATATAAACTATTTTTTATAGAAACCCTAAAAAACCCAAAAAATGCAATGAGGGTCCATAAAAAAAAAAGCTGGTATTAAAAATTGGTAAGATAAACACTTGGGTATTTTTATTGAAAGTATCCTGAAGAGAAGCTCAGTTTTCTGACTGAAAAATATTGATTTTCAAGAATTCTATACCATTTCCGCGAAAAATATGTTTTTTTTTTTCATACAAAATACATGGAAAACTTTGAGCGCTTTGCGCGACCTCCAAAAATTTCTTGATTCGGAAAAAAATAAAGTTTAAGTAGGGGGTGAGAGCATTAAAATTCCGACTTTACTTTTTCACATGCATTTTTGAACCATCCTATTGCACATACATACATACATATGTATAATATCCTATACATCTTTTAATTTTGATCTGGGATTTGGACGCATTTTACATACGAGTTTACAGTTGTCTGTTTCGCCCTCATTCCTTACCGACAAAAAAAAAGAATTTCGTGACGCGATCAAAGCCGATAGGAGAGCGACAAACGCAGACAGTCGTCGTCCAGGGCAGAGCGCCCAGCAAACTGTTAGATCAAGCAAATTTACTACGAAATACATACATACATATTATACGAGGACATAAACAACAGAATTTGTAAAAACAATTAACAATTACAACATATCTTAATTGAGCGAAAATACCAACGATACAAAACAAAAATCGGGGAGGCAGAAAAACAACAGATGCGCTCAGCGCTAAAATCGTACGAAAAGAATCGGCAAAGAATGCAATGGTGGAAAGAGCAACGAGCGCTGAGCGCTGAGTGCTGAGCGCTAGATGAGATAAGGTTCACCAGACAGAAAACAACAACAACAATTGCGGTGAGCACCAGCAGTCACCGAATCAATTGAAGATAAATAACAAAATGAAGCAACAACCACAACAACAACAGCAGCGAGCAATAATTGTTGCAATGTGTTTTAAGTGACTTGCGCCTACTGAAAGAATGTAAATGGTTGTGTGTGTGTGTGTGTGCGTTTGAAGAGCGTGGGGGAAGGGGAGGGGGGGTGTTGTTTTCTAAAAACGCAAATTGGCGACGTTGGCGATGACGCAGGCCATTGTTGTTATTGCTTTGTTAGCGATGCCGATGACGTTACAAAAAAATATTTGCGTTGTTTTCATTTTTGGCGCTGGCGTTGTGGCTTTCGGTGTTGTTGTTGTTGCTGTTGTTGCAATGGTGATGCAGTTGTTTACGATATTTGCGCCTCGATGAGGGGGCCTGCTGTCGACACTGCTGCCTGACTGCCCAACGGCGTTTATTGATGATGCAGCCGCGCTGCGCTGCAGTTATTGCTAACGTGTACCGTTGCTGTGGTTATTCTTGATGCAGTCCCATTCATTGTTGGGCGTCTGTTTGTTTTCGTTGTGAAAACGATTTCGCTTTGCCTTTTCGGGCGGGCTGGTTGAGTGATGATGATGCAGTTGTTGGCGCAGTTGTTGTTGCTGGCTGAGTAATAAACGTTCGTTATTGTTGTTGTAAGTTTTATTGCAATTGTTTTGACATAAGCAATGACGTTTGCCGCCTGATTTTGGAATGATGACGAAATTGGTTTTCCGCCGACAAACTGCAAAAGCTGAAAAATAAAAATATTTTCTAAGTATTTATGTATGTATGTACATAATTACACGGACTGCACTATGTATTTTGAACTTATTTACTCTGTTTATTTTCAAACATACATTCGCCAATGCACACACTTGCCGATTTAGCGCTTGATTTCCAAGAGAATTCCGCATCCATTTATAAATAGATTGTCGGGAATTTTTACTGTTTCCATTTGTTGTTTACAGCGATAAATATTTAAATTTGTTGCAATTATTAGGAAATGTTTGTTCCGGAATTTAATACAATGTGTTGTAATTGCAACACGTAATTTCCAAAGCGGAATAATGGAATTTCGATATCATTTGATGCATCATGTTTTTTTCCATATTTTTAACGCAATAAAAATCGAATGAAATATTTTTAATACATTTACATATGTACATATGTACCTCCATTAATACATACCACATTTTTATAAATGGACTAGTCTCTGAGGCTGTGAGGAATTTCGCGGTCAAAGGAGCTTCTAAAGCTGACTAAACAACAACTCTCGACGCTGCTAGTAGGCCTTATGGTAGCCTACATAAGTTGCAGGAAACATTTTTTTATAAATTTTCCAATCATTTATCAAAAGGTTTTCTTCAAGTTCGTATGCAACTGCAAGTTGTGGTATTCGAACTACTCGTGGGAAAAATATATTCGTTATACTCTTCACTTAGTGATTAAACTAAAAATTAAACAGTAGTGTATTTTTAACATTGTCGTTTTGCCTTTAAAAATTAACTTGCCATTAATGTCATATAAATAAAGTCCCAGAAAGTCATTAGAACGATGCATGTAACTGTATAATCTAATATTCGATATTTTATTTATGGATCAACTTCTGCACAGCTGTTCGATTAAAAGCTCTTTCGCTTACTTTTCGCTAGCCGCAGGTGGCTTACGTAAATCAAGCACTTCTACTTCACTCGCATTTCTTCCTGTCTAGATAAAGATATGTACGTACATACAAACATACATACTAGGGCTCGTAAAATTATCCGACTATTCGACTAATCGGTTAACCGATTATTCGATTCGTAACCTTTCGCAGGCTTATTAGTCGGTTAATGGTATTCGAATAGTCGCCCGCCTTCGATTATTCGAATAGTTGCTTTGCTTCGACTACTCGAGCATTGGAGCAAATCGAATTTCAGTAACCGAACTCTCATTGAAATTTCTTTGACAAATGAAAAAAAAATTTTTTAAATATACACATATGTATGTATATTCAGATACTAAAATGAGCGGACGCAAAAGGAGCTGGGTTTGGGATTTTTTCGAAAAAACAGAGGACGAAAATGAAGTTCCATATGTGGTGCAGTTTTGTGCTACAACTCCTCCACATCCTCACTGAACAACCATTTAACAAAAATCCATAACAAAAATGAGAGGTAGGTATTGCTTTAGCCATTGTCTCTAAAATATTTCGCATTAACATTTCAATAATTAGCGCACATTCTTGCAAAAAAAGTCTGCCTTAATTTTGCACATGCAATCTTATATATGTACTACGAGTGTAACAAGACTTTTCATATATGTATATGTATCTGTAAATGCAAAAAAAAACTCGAACTTAAAATATTCGATTAACCGAAAATGAACGGTTAACCGAATAATCTAAAGTGAACGGTTATCCGAATAGTCGACAGCTTTCGACTACTCGAATATTGCTAACCGATTAACAGTAGTCGACTTCAGTCAGATTCGAATAATTCGGTTAATCGATTAACCGAATTGCCCGAGCTCTAATACATACACACTTACATATGTATGTATTTGCACATATTTGAAATTCCAAGGAATTTTCGATATCAATCAGCAGTCGTGTTAAACTTCGGTGTTGCATTGAACTGTTTTGTTTTATCAATTGCTGTCACATCAAAGTCCACTCTCAGGCCGCTGGCAAATTGTAAATATAAAATATGTACGTATATACATACATATGTCCGAGAATAAGTAATGTACATAAAAGAAAGTCATTGTAATTATTATTTGCAAGCGTGTGTGTGTGCAGCAAAAAAAAAGAAGAAAACTGTTGACAAGTGGCTTGCGAATGACTTCACGTAGTAATAAGAATTGCCTACACACACGTAATAGGCATAAAACGGCTTGTAACTATTTGTAGTTTAAAGTACAAGGCACACCCTAGCAAAAAATATGATTACCACAGAAATTAAAATGGAATCGAATTGGGCGATGGGAATCGCTTATCCTTTCGCTTCATGAAGGCATTATTTTAACATGGGCATGTCATTGGTAGTGATGGCACGATTAATCGAATAACCGACTATAATCGGTTATTTTCAATCGGTTAACGATTTAATTGTATCGAAATTTTCCTTTCGATTAATCGAGCGATTAATCGATTAATTTTTCAAAATAATCGAAAAGAAACCATCAAAAATTTACTAATTTACTCACACAATAATGTATAAATCAAAATAAGTTGGGATGTTTTTTACATTCTCGTATTCTGTAAATTTTTAAAACGATATTTTTGCCAAAAACCGGAACACAGACGTAACCTACGTAGCTACTGCGCATTTTTTCTTTTTTATTTGGAAAAAAATAAGCAACACCATTACAGAACAGAAAAATACCAAGAATCAGTGGTAAGTGCCAGATACTTCAGTCTTGGAATTTTTCATATAAAAATTTAATGGTCAGCAAAAGTGCATACTGAAAATCTTTCCAAGAAATCTAACTAAAAAGCTGGAATTTATTGTTGATTTTTTTTTAATATTGCACAAAGTTTGATATATTTATATCTATATTTTATATATATTTATATTTAAAAAATAACTAAAAAATAAATACCAAAAAAAATTCTTGTCGTGCGCTATAATTTTGACACGATTATTAATTTTCGATTTTAATCGAAATTACCGATTAATCGGTTAATTTCTTACGATTAATTGTAATTATTAATCGAATGCTTTCGATTAATCAATTAACCGATTAATCGATTTATTAATTTTTTTGCCATCACTAGTCATAGGGCCATAAGCCCTTACCCGCGGCATTACCTTCGAACGAAGGGAGAACGCATGGATAAACAGAATGCAGAGAAGCGAAAAAAGAATGCCTTACAGAGAAACTAATGTAGAATGCCAAGATAAGTACATACTTACATATGTATACAGAAAATACAGATTGTCTTAAAAGTTTGAAATTGATGAAAATTTTTATAAACCAGTTTGTATGTATGTATGTATTTAGGTATTTACATCTTACACAAAAATCGGTAAGTACATACATACATATTTAATTAAACTAAAAATTTTACATCCTCACTCATGTACTTCATTCATTTACTGACCGCTAGTGATGCTAAAGATACATCGATATTTCAACCGATGTTTTCAATGCTTCAAAATCGATGCATCGATGTTATTTTTGTCGATGTTCTTAACATCAAAACGTTGGGAGCCAATTTATAACATTATAAAATCACAGATGAGCAATTAAAGTGCAAGGATAACTTTTAAGAAATAAGTTTCAAATATTCATGTATAACCTATACACAAATAGAGACTAAATAATTGAATTTATGGTCTGAAATTTATCTATTTGCCAACTCCACGTCGACGATGTTCTTGAAAAAAAAAATAAAAAAAAAAAATAAAAAAAAATATTCCGACGAACTGATAACCTCCTCCTTTTTTGGAAGTCGGTTAAAAATTAGAAGACATTATAAGGCAATGCGTTATAGAACACTTTACTGCTAAAAGCTATTATCGCTTTTTTGCTGTAACACAGCTGAACATATATGCATACACACTAGGGTGGTCCAAAAATGCATGTGAAAAAGTAAAGTCGAAATTTTTATGCTTTCACCCCCTTAGGATTGTTGTATACCGAAAAATATACCCTTATTTTTTTATTTCGAAATCAAAAAATATTTAGAGGTCGCTCAAAGTTTTCTATGTATTTTATATGGGGAAAAAACATATTTTCGGAGAAATGGTATAGAATAGTCAAAAATCAATATTTTTCTACCAACTATATTTTATAGGTCCGCCAAAAACCGAGACTCAAGGATCCATATACATATGTACCTACATATATAAATATACATATATTGAAGGACTTACCAAACTATCAGCTATTAAGTTCTTTAAATATTTACCTGAAAAAAGAGATTAAAAAGTTAATTTAAGAACTGTTTTAAACGTTCATTTATATCTTTACTATTATATAAAATTGATTATATGGGGAATACATGTTTTACAAAATAATCCTTAACATAAAATAAGAGTTGAGAAGGCGCTGGAGAGTAAAGTAATTTCCTCTCTTTCCGCACTCGTATTCGTTAAAGTGGCAGGCCAGGAAAGAAAAGATGTTCTAAGATCGCTAGCCACTCACAGTTATCGCCATAGACAAAGCCCATTTTGTAGAAATGATTAGACACTGATGCGGTGTCGCTGGACAAATACGTTTGCAACAAGATTCTAAAGGTAGCGGTGTCCGCAAAATATCAAGCCTTAGGTACTGGACAAAAAGCTGAACTGGGCACAAAATATACTGTGCTCCAAGTCTGAACTTCACAAAGAGGTATAGGATTTACATTCAAGACAGCAACTTCTGGTCAGGTGGGGCTCCTAATGAAAAGGGATCACTCCATCTCTACACGGAGGGCTCTCAGCTAGACGGCAGTGTAGGAGGGAGAGGGGGCGCGTTGCTCGCCTCAGCCCGGTTGGGACTGTAAATGTCATTTCTCTCACCCAACCACTGCATTGTCTTTCAAGCCAAAGTTCCTACGTACAAGAGAAGTTATATGTAACGATGAAAAGGCAGACGAACTTGCATGGGAGGATACATCCGCTCCAATTTTGCAGGCCTGCAAGGAATGCTACTTGCAAGCTCATTCGCAACAACAATACGAAGCTTACGTGGCCGAAACGGGACAAAAAGCGGTTGAAGGATGTCCTCATGCTGAGCAGAGAGGACCTAGCCGCAGATGTGGGTCTGCTAATA